AGTATTATTTAGTAATATAAGGTAGTAGGCCTATATATAATTTATAAAGTTATGATGTATTCATTCCACTGTAGCATTGTTCACAAACTCTGTAAAATTTTCATTGACATTACTAAATTTACATACTTGTAGTTCCCATATTGTGAATACGGCATGATTGGTAAAAAATCACATTTTAGTATTTAAATCATATAAACATTGTCCTAGCATATTGTTAGGGTTTTATTAAATTGGGCAAAATCTCACAATTTGTCGACGACCATGACGTTCTGGAGAGTAAAACTTGAATGTAGACAAAATATTCAGTACTGTATGTGGTCTACTCCATTTAATTCTACTTTGTGATAATAGCTATAAATAGTACATGACCAGTGTTCACGTTTTAGCTAGCTACTAGATTAATTCTCAGTGCATTGAGAACCGCTGCAGTTATACCAGATTTGCCCTGAACCCATATTTTACGTGGGTTCCACATATATGAGAGGAGATTTGTCATGGTGAAGGTTGATAGCTAGCTAGACTCTTTACATGCCAGGATTTTTATTCTATACACGTCTAACATGGGAAATTGGGTATTTAAGACGTCTTGTTGAAAATCTAAAGACATGCTCTATGTGTATTAAAATTATAAATATATTTAAACATCATATAGAGTAAAATTGTGAAATCTATGGTACTGGTTCATGTTTTTTGTTGACGTTAGTCCCATGGTGCCCACTCTCTGCTCTTGATAACGATATATGCATAAGTTTTGATGCGAAAATAAATATTTCAGATCTGAAAGTCTGAAATCTTGACGAGAGATGGCGCTACGCATAAATGATCGCCATTTTGGTTTTCGAATATCGCGCAAATAAAAACAATAAAATATTCCAGTCAAATTACTGTAACGAAGAATCTAAAACACAATATTACACGTATATAGGTATGATTGTAGAGTTGTTGACCAGTTAGACGAAATAAACGTAATAGGACATTGTCATCTCTCCCATGGGAGTAACGACTCAACTGTTTTGGGTCTAGCCTTACACATTCACATACCAAAAGTTTACAAAATCGAATGAATTTAGATGGCCATTTTCATTTTTGCCAAAATGTGGGCGTGGCTCGAAAGTAGGTCGACTGGCGTGCTCCAAAATAGATGTTCAAATCTCTCCCATAGGAGTAACAACTGTATTCAATTTGAAACATGTGGGTCAAACGGTTCTTGAGTAATCGTTGACCGACCGTAGGCAGACACTGAAATGCATAGTGGAATTGCCAAAATCTACCTAATTTGCATAATTTAAAACAAAAATTCAAAACCTGTGATATGTTTTGGGGCCAGTCCTCATTCATTCACATACCAGAAATGAGCAAAACCCATTGAACCTGAACTGACTTGTGGCCATTTCCATTTTTGCCAAAAAGTGGACGTGGCTCGAATGTAGGTCAACTGGCGTGCTCAAAAATAGGACGTTCAAACCTCTCCCATAGGAGTAACAACTATATGCAATTTGAAACATGTGGGTCAAACGGTTCTTGAGTTATCGTTGACCGTAGCCAAATGTTGACGGACGTACGACGGACGACACCCCATGGCAATAGCTCATCTTGACGATGTCAAGGCGAGCTGAAAATTGCATATTTTACCCAATTTCAGTGAAGACAAATATTTGCCACGTACTTGAAAAGTTAGGCAGTCGCATACAAAAGAGGAAGTTCTGGCACCCCAGACCCTAACCATTTATGAAGACTACTCTTGCCATTTTTCTTGAGTGAGTTTTATACACGCACGCACGCACGCACGCACGCATACACGCACACACATGGTACTTTTATTCTTTCACATTCCACTCAGGCCTTTCTTGAACGTCTACCTACATGTTTTCACTGTATGAGAATTTCCTATTCATCTCACTGCTTCAAGTACTTCCATTTTCGAAATATTATGAAGTCCAAAAATCGAATAGAATAGTAATTCGTTTTCTTTTATTACACAATATATATAGTAAAATGTCTCATTACTATCTACAAAATAATGTACATAATATCATGCCACCCTTCTAACCAATTGTTCTTTGTCAGCTTGCCCTTCGACTAGAATTTGATTACTCGATCATTGATCAATGTGAGCTCTCACAAATTCATTTTTCTCCTTAATCACTTCTCCTGCTCCTCACTGTTTTATTCTGTGTCGTTCACTGCCGTAATCTTCATTGTTCCCTCTGCATTATCATGCTCCTCGCATATTTCTTTTTATTTTCTCCACTGGCATATATGTTCGTCATTGTTCACTCCTGCTTAATTATTTCTTGACATCTGTTCACACCTCCTTACTCCACTCCTTTTCTCACTGTTCACACCACTCTAACCCCCTAGCATTTGTGTGTTCCTCGTTGTTTACACACTTCCCTGCAAAGGTTCTGTGTTCCCCACTGTTAGCTCGTAGCTGTTTTACTCTTGTGTTTCTCGTTACTCCACTGTCATGTCGAAGTACGTTCTTCCCAGTCTGCTTTCACTATACACACCCTAGCGTATGTCTTATCGTTCACATAGCTCTAGGTCCCTCAACCACTTGTCATTTTGTTCCAGACAAACGTTATTCAATCATGGCCATATCATCATTTATGTTCAGTTGGCAGCACGCTCTACAACACGTGGAGAAATCATGAAAACACTTTTTTGTCATGAATTAAGAACTATCGCATAGTTCCAATAAATTTTGAATACGCAGTTCCTTCGTTGAGGCGAATGTGCCCAAGCAAGACCCTGCATGTCGTCACGATTGCACTTTTCTTTCCCTATCCAAAGGGTCTTGTTCATCTCTCGCATCAGCTTTCGCTTTCTGCTCAGGAACGCCCGCAGAATGGAAATAGCGATATCGAAAGCTCTCCGTATAGTGATCATCAGAAACTGTAGCTTGTAACTCACTCTCCCTGGCCTCCTGTGCAAACAGAAAATTTTACACAAAACCAATTCACAGCAGCTGTGTATGTTTTGTTGAATTTTGTCACAGCTGTCTTCACTATTTTTAACCATATAGAATATCAACCAAAATCGTTAAATTTCATGCAGTCTACACAATTTATCTGTAGACCCGTTTTATTGTACATTACCAGTACTGTTTGCAATAACATATGTACACAATACATGATACATTGCATCATGCGAGACAGAGAGAGAGAGAGAGCGTGCGTGCGTGTGTGCGTC